CAGATTTTACATTTGATTAATCACTGGGTTCTAATGTTAAGTCATTAAGGTTTATGGGTTTTAAAACCATTTTTTTCTAGTCTTCAATTGGGGGTTTAGGTCACTTAAGTCATTTTATAATATCAACATCCTGAAAATATAGTATTAAAATTCCCTTTGGATCTCTAGGAATTTTTATGGTCTTTGTATTCTTAAAGATTAGGGATTACTTTTACTATTTACAAAATCTTGAAGTTTTAATATAAGATCATTGAACGTCACTACAATTAAGTATGAAAAGGCTATCATAAAAAATCCCCAAAATCCCCTTTGGGTCTCTACAGAATTTTATATTTTCTATAATTAAAATTTGAGCAATACTTTTAATATTTAAAAAATCATAAAGTTCTAGTTGGACATCGCTTAAAAACTCCAAAATTCTTTTTGGATCGCTAGGATCTTCGGTCCTGTGTGTGATATCTGTCGTGTGCTTACCGAACCAGCTGGACTCGTCCTTGTTGAGCCAGAAGGGCTGCGTCTCGTCGTGCAGCTGGTTGAGGGTGACGGAGGGCATGCTGACCACCATGCCGGAGCCGAGGACCCCGCTGTTGCCCAGGAAGACCATCAGCTGCTGCCGCAGGACGGCCAGGCGGCCCTCGCCCAGGGGCTTCTCCTTCTTCGCGTGCGGATCCTTCGCGGTGTCCTTGCTGACGACGGTGGGTCTGTAGGCCGGCGGCGGCACCAGCTGCTCCTCCTGCTGCTGGCCCTTCATTTCGCTGGGCTTTTCTTTATTGGTTTTCTATTTGATATGGCTGTTTGTGGGGGGGGGGCAGATGCCGCTCGATGCCGCTCGATGCCAGAAAAGGGGGCGTGTCTGGTGGAGCCGATGGTGCCCTGTTCGCTGCCAATCAATTAATGGCTCACAATTAGCTATAGTGGCGACGTCGTCGACTACCGGTGGCACCAGTGGGTTCGGTTCTGGGTTTGGGTATGGGTATGATAGCTCCGACTGCTCGACAAGTGGAAACTTCCGCGCATTTCATTCAAGGGCTCACGCTCCAGTATCAATTTCACAAGTTGCACTTATCAGTTTCGAACGGCCGAGAGTTTTGCGTTACCTACCCGCACTCGTACTATTTTTTTTGCCAAATTTGCAAAAACCCATTCCTTTTGGCTTTTTATACCCGAGCAAAACACACAAAAAAAAAAGACTACAAAAAACACGTCCGTTTCGTTCGGCTTTCGCTGGGCGACTGAATTGGATGCTATGCTCTTGCCCTGCTTTTTGCGCCCCATAATTTGCAAATTAAAAAATTATTGTTTGCATTTAATACGAATGCGAATACGCGGCGTATACGCGATTAGGCGAATTCGAATTCGGCGATTACGTATACGCCACCGCGGTACCGCTGTGTGAGCGGCGTTTTGAACGCAATTAGCTGTCTAATCGATCCGGCGACACCCTCGGCTGACCCCGCCTCACACCCCCGATACCACCGATACCCCCGAGACCCCATGGGACCCCTTATTGGGACCCCCTGAACCTCCATTATCTCTATAGCTCTCGCATTGCTCTCCCAATCGAACGACATTGGCAACGAACTTGACATTGGCACACGCGAGGAAAGGTGAAAGGGGGGTTTTTTTTTGGTAAAAATGGTGAAATGAAAACAGACGCGAAGAGCGAAATCTGTCATCGGTTGGCCGTTGAAATACCCTGATTCGGAATCCCCCAAACAAAAAAAAAGGAAATATCACCACCCGAGCGTAAACAATTTATTTATGACTCTACTAATCTTACCAAAATCGCCACTCACGTTTCGTGCGTTAGCGGAATCGGGGGACTTTTGATATTAACTTCTTTTTTCTTTATATTTCCATGTCTTTGTTTTAAATAATTAATGAATCACTTAACATAAGGACAGTTTGAACAGAATAGGGCTTAAAAATAAATACAAATTATAAAAACACTGTAAATACAAATTTTTAGAAAATATATCTATAACTAAAAATATATAAAAAAAATTATAAATTATAAGATCAAGTAATTGTAATACTTTATTTTCGTGTTTAATATTTCATTTAATGAATTTTCGTATTTTTTTCTTTGTATTAAGTTACCAATGAATCATTTGAGTTGAGTAAGTTTTAAAAATAAATTCCAATCAAACAAATACTTAAAATATAAATAAGTACGGATTGATTTTCTCTCTTTAAAGAATTTGTTTGCAATTTGTCTACAGCAAAGATATTTATTTAATTTTTTCTTCTTCTTTAAACTTATAATAATAAATGTAATAGCTTGTATTACAAATAATGTGGACTCTTACCTGTGTAAGAGTATGCTTATAAGGTAAACACAAATGTTTCGTTAATGAAATTGGTGCTGTTTTTTTTTGTTCTGTTTACGAAGCACCTCGGCCATCGGAATCGCACTCGGAATCGGTGAGAATATTGCGGCTGCAGTTGGCCAAAAGCCAGAAGCCAAAAAATTGAAAGAGAGGGCCTGAAGCTTATCAGACCTCTTCATCCACCTGTCCGCCTGTCTCTTTTGCCACTTCGGCTGCCTTTTGCCGCGGAAGAGGTGCATAAATTATGCGATATCGAGCGGAATGTTGTTAATACCCGGCGCTCTGTTTCGGACTGTTTTTTTGGACCCCCGGACTTATCAATAGGGGCGATGCACGCCGCTGCCACGCGGCCCGATCGCTGCGAAATGAATAATATTGCGACTACCTTAATTAACGAAATCCGAGCTAAGTATTGTGGTAACCCGTTTTTATGACCACAAGCATTATATTCGCGATAAGGGGAGCAAATATTTAATTTGTGATTGCGGGCCAATTTGACACGTTCAAATATTTATGTCTTAATATTTAAACAAATCAAACAATTTACACAAAAACCCTGGTATCGCAAAAAAAAAAAACACAAAAAAGGCGGATAAACCAGGTGAGACGATAAGTAATTTATGGCCAGCGACCAGTGCCCCGATAATTTAAATTAAAACTGATTTATGACTGCCGTAGGCAAATTTCTGGTTTCCTGCTAAATACCACTTATGAAGGTATACCTTTCACCGGGGCTTTCCCCCTTTTTTGTGCTGCTGTTCTCTAAAGGCAATCGATCAACCTGAACTTGTTGCTCTAAATCAATTATTCTCCGGTGTCTCAGCCAATGCCCAAATAAAAAAAGAACCTTTCGGGGCTCAAAAACACATACAAACACAGCCGATCGCTCGATTATATGTAAATGTCTTGCCAGACAGCTGATAAAACATTAACAATGAAAACGTGAGAGTGCCTGCCCCAGAACAGCTTTAAAAAAAGAAATACAGTGTATATCAGATAACAGTCTCAGACCCACCGAATATATATTTTTGATTCGAATAATGGCGCCAGTTGACCGATAGTCCTAGCCGAAAGAAATTCTCAAGGTAATTCCCAAGAATTTTGAGAGCAAAAAAACACTTAACGAACATGTGGCTTTGAACTTTGTACTTTGTCATTTTTACTGTTAGTCATTAGAAAATATCACACGCTTAGAATATCATGCTCAAACTAAATGATCACAATTTCCATCATTTTTCCGACGAGCTTTCAAGTATTATTCGACCGAATTCCACTGTAAACTGATCAAAACTGGTTATCTGAGGACTGTTTCTACGTCAGCATTACTCAAAAGCCGCTATGCCCGCCTGGCAACAAAATTTTTTAGTTTGGCAACAAACTATTTTTTTCCAATTTATACGCAGCATTTAAAATTAAGTATTTGTTGGCTCTCATTTTGAACAGTTATTTTCTGATTCTGATTTACAGCCATGCGTTTGGAATTAACTTGGAAAATTGCTAAATTTTAACAAAAAAAACATTAAGTAAAACATTCCAGCAAGTTTTTGTAGTTAGACAATTTTTCTGAATAAGCTTAACAGAAATTTTGAATTATGGTAACAGCGTAAGAGCGCGCCAAGAAGTAACATAATCTTAAGTATATCGATAGTCGTTGGGCCAACTATCGTATAGCTTAACAGAGCTGTTAACAGTAATCTAACATCTTGCCATCAAGAGTTACCAGATAGTCTGAAATTGTTTGAAATTTGAAAAATACGTTATGTTCAAGTAAAATAAAATGTGTGGTCCTTAAAACTGCAGTGTACAATTGTAAGTTAAAATCATATAAAATATGATTTGAGTCATAACATTAAGTGCTTTTTTTCTATAGCGTTAACCATTTTGAGGAGGAAGAATCAAATTGAATATCAAAGAAATTTTAATATATATATTGGAAGACAGTTTTAAAAAATATATTCATACATTTAGCAATCAAACTATATGTTCATAAGTAGTATATTTAATTGTTTATGCATTTAATCATTAACAGTTGTTAGCTGCTGTCTTTGTTAGCAGCCACCAAATAAAAGCATTCATGGATTAACATTATCCGCTCTGCATTTTCCTCTGTTACCAAAGGTTAACAGAGTACCAGTGTTGGCGTTTTGACCTTTTTACGGATATATGCATCTGTACGTCTACTTTTTAAGGATCTTTTCTAAAATCCATAAAAATTATATAACAAATAATTTACAAACAATTGTACAAGATGCGCTTTTTAGGAATTATATAAAAATGAACCTGGCAATGTAAGCTGCGTTCCTTGAGCATACAAATTTATTAATTACATAAACACATATAGACGATCTATTTAATTAATTTATTATTATTAAATGGCAGAACTTACCCAGCTAAGAAATAAATTATTTTTTACTCGGAAAATTGTCACTAAGTTTTTAAAGCCACTAAACCGGTAGAATTTAAGTACGAAACCCTAGTAATAACAAGTGCTATAAGAAAACAATTTGTTCAAGTTTTTTATGAATGCTCCTTTTATTTGCCGCCCTTTCGTCTGCTCTATCCTGTCTTCGAAATTTTCTGCTGGCAGCACCCTAACATCCGCTGTTATCTCCTGTTGGCCCATCCAATCGTGACTTGGCCAACAATGAATTTTCAGTTGGTTTCTGGCGCTCAACGAAAGCGCACGTGCGACTGCCCCGCCCCTTTTAGCTGCCTCCCAAAAGCGCGAACGAATTTTTGGCGCGCATTCTTGTGAACATTCAATTGCATCAATTATTGGCATTTTTTTCTAGTGTTTTTACAAGTTTTTTTTTTCGGTTGAGGTTGCATGTGTGTGTGATTATCGAAATTATTATTGTAATCGTAGATGTAACTTTGCCGGTGAGTGTGTGGCTAATTGCAGGGCGCACTTGAAATATTCATGGGGCAAGTGCAGCGACAAAGGGCTGAATAATTCACCAGAACTACTTGTGTTTTTTTTTGTTCATACCGCCTTGCGGGTGTTCGAGTTTCTGGCCAGGAGGTAAAAACAAAAAGCCGGCGATCCGACGAACATGTAAATCGAAGCTCAAATGGCAGCGAGCAACAAGCCCCGGTACAGGTACAAGTCCCACGGCGCCGCCCTGGAGTGCCTCCTGCACCTCGTTCTGTTCACCAGAGGTGAGTCCCTAATCCCCAATGTCCTTATGCGCACTGTGGAAAAAGTTCCCCCAAAACAAGGTTACATTTTCCATGTCTTCTAACTTTAAAATACCGTCGGGAATCACCATATTCTATACTTCCTTCTGAGGGGAAACTCCTATTGCGTATTTTAAAAAACCTCACAGAGCTCTCGCCATATATCTATTGAAAATCCATATGCCTTTCTGCATTTGATTTTATCATGCTGGCACTTCACCAGTAATTGTTTACAAAATGTAAGTCTATAAAACCCCTCCCATAATAAAGTCATTATTCACACAGAGAAAAATTATAGGTACTCAAAAATTCGTTGAGATTAAAAATGTGCATCTAGAGCTTGGGCTGGAATAAAATTTATTACAAGAGTTAAGAAGCCTGATTTTTTTTTAAATCGTATTTTTTGCTTGAACAAAATATCAAAAGTTATAAAGTATTTAAGTGATAAAGAAATGGGTTTCTTTCCCTTTTTCTCATGTGCACTTGCGATTCCCTCGGGGTGGCCGAAAATGCCCAAATGGCTGGCGAACGCGGCGTATGCGTAATTTATGGACCTGCTCCCATTGCATTTCACTTGCGGCGCGGGCCATAGCGGTACTTAACGAAATTAAAATGCGAGCTGCCCCGCCCCTTTTCATCGGACCCGCCCACCGCACAGTGGTTAAAATCCAAAAATTAAAGTTTCAAATTTATTTCTTAGTAGGATGTAGAAGATATTGTAAATATATTTTTAGATAGATTTCCAGAAAGTCTATAACCCACATTTAATGTTATATTCCTGTACGGAATTTTTTTTTGAGGAATAGTTGCCTATACATTTTCCAAGCAAACAAAAAAAGGTAATAATGTTTTTTGCCCAATCAGATTGCTCATTCTGACCACTGTGCATCGGTTGCGCTAATGTGCGAAATGGACAGCAGCAGCAGCCAAAGGAAAACTTTATTATTATCATAGAATTCTTGGAAAACTGTTGCCTCAGCTTTTTCCCCTTCTCCATTGAGTTGCAGCCAAGTAAAAGTGCAACACGAAAAGAATGTGGCCAACTAAACTAATCCCAGCAAATTGAAAAGAAAAGAGAGTCCAGAATCCAACTTTGTCTAGCCTTCAAGGCAATTTCAATTATCCCACGTCCAAATTATAAGCTGACTTTTGATTGACCAAGCAGCTGGGATTCCATGGGCTGAGGAAAAGGAGACCCCATGAAAACCTTGATAAAACTTTGGTCCTAATATAAATGCATGAAATACTTGATACAAAGTTACTGCAAGTCGGCAAAAAGGACTTGATATTAAAAAACCGTAGTGCTTGTAAGGTTACTTTGTAAAATCATTAAATCAACAGCATTAATAAACAACCTGCTTACATCTTTTCGTAGAATAATATTTATTTAATCACCCCTATCCGATTGTTTCCCAACTGAAACCATTAGCAGCTTTATGAAGCACTTTGGGTCGATTACAAAATATTGCAGCCACAATGCTTGCGAAACAATCTAAACAACTTTATAAGCCTCAGGAAATTACAATATGGGAAGCACTTAACAATCTGTAATTATTAATAAATGGAATAGCCGTACCGAGCGCTTGTATATGGAGGAAAATCCCCAATTTGATTATCTACAAGTCGAATAATTCTTTCAATATAATTCTCTCAAGGCTCTAGGCGATCCGATGGAAGCTTCTGCCCAATCGGTTTCCCATTTCACTGCCATCCGACTGGTATTCCCCAGTCACAACTTATTCGGGTCTATCTGGATGGGATTTATCCCGGGGTCAAGTTCACTCCATCCTTATCCATACTCTCATCCCTTGTTGTGACATTCCAAAAATAGACGCAAATCGCAGTTAAGAAATCTCATCGCTCTGCCTAAGCGTGCCACAATGAAAATGAAAGCGTCTAAACCTGAACCGACCTACTAGACAACAGGCAGACTTCCCTTTAGGCGATTTGGGGCAGCACTGGGAGAAATTATGGGGGAGAACACTATACAGTTCTTAAGTCTTAAAACACACAAAAAAACCGAGATACGTATTGGTTTTAGTACCAGAGGACTAGGCTATTTCAAAAAGTGTCTAAAAGTATGCTATAAAGAATGAACATCGTCTTACGACATCCTTTATTAGCTCTTTACGGTTCCTAATTAGGGATTAGTTTGGAGAGTTTTTCTTAAAATACACCCCTTTAGTTAGTTGATTTTTCTCTGAGTGCATTGACGGATTGGTTACAGCTCACCTGGCGCGGTAGCCTCGGCTATGAGCTTGCCCCATGGGCTCGGGACCCGTCTTAACTGGCTTACGGACGTGCGGCTGTCACAAAAGGGCGGGCTAACCCAGTCCTGGACCCCAGACATAGACATAGATACAGATACAACAGATCCAGTGCGACGCAATATGGCGACACTAATCTGAGATTGTCAGCGCCGCTCCCCGAACCCCTGTGGCCCCCCATTTGGAAACCCATCCCATACCATATACCATATACCACCACCCACCCAACCTCCACCTTATGTTTGCGTTTGCAGCTGATTAGACGGCGGTGACACTCCATTTAACTGTCAGCCGCAGTGCCTGAACCTGGAAAAAGGGCAACCGGCAAGCCAGTAGGCAGCAGTCACTAGCTGCAACACGGAAAACAACATTTCATAATCTTGCAACCTTTTGTAACTCACATTTGTGACCATGCCCTTGAAATAGAAATGCCTTGGCTGCTCAAAAAAGTTATAGAAATTGCTATTATCATAGGTATTGTTTTGAAATCGGTAATAGAATTTAATGGAATAATATAAAATACAATCAATTAAAGCAATCCTTAAGGATAAGGTACTGTAATTGAAATTCAAACATCAGTATCCTTTTGAATTTCAAAATGTATAGTAAATATTTCTGTTTCGAAGTGATATTTTCCCTGTGCAGTAAATGTTGCATCGTGAGGCGGCGGGTGGTCGGAAAGTCCTGCGTCTTTCTTGCGTCAGCGAAAGCTCTCAACCTTGCAACAATTATTCAGACCGCGTCCATCTATCCATTCTATTTTTCTGAATTATATAAGCTGTTAAGGGAAATATACAAGGGAATATTTTTAGCTTTACTTAAGCAGTCCAAAAAGTGGTGAAGAAAAGTTTTTTGGCTGGGCGTGGCTTTTTCAAGAGTGTCCACAGTGATGTGAGTAATTCGAATACATTCATAAACATTGTAGGTCTCTTCTTTTTTGCTGGCAAAAGAGAAATATTAAATCATAATCCCGGGGGCCAAAGGCTGAGGCACGTTTATTTCTTTCTTCCAACAAGAAAAATGACATAAAACCGTTTTAATGCAGGTGGAACCGAGAGATAACGGCTGTCAGGACTTAATGCCCCAAATGATCTGAAGAAAAGGGGGCGTGGCCGGGGAGCTTAAACTCAAGTGGAACCGAACCATTAAAGTGTAATGAGTTGCGATAAAAGAAGTGCGCTGCGAAAGGTTAAATGTAGGCAAATTAGATATCTTCATAAAGCAAATTTCTTGAGGGCAACTACAAATGCATAAATCTTATTTTATCTCATGATTAAAGATACCTAAAATATGGGTTTGATAACAAAACTGAACTAAAGATATTGAATTGCATTTAGTTTTCCTTAGCTTCAAGCTAAACATCAATCATAAAACTGAATTATTTTAGGCGATATCGTTTATTTATTCTCTACCATTCATTAAGTATACTTATACCAAATATTGCCTAAGTATTCGGTTGGCATTAAGTGAAAATTCTTCAGCCGCAACTCAAATAAATTTTAAACACACGATGAAAAATGAAAAATTATAAAAGAACATAATCTGGAAAAGAGGGAGTGGGGGGAAAATAGAGGTGGTGGCGAAAAGGAGGAAAATGTTTACAAACATTGGACGGCGTACAAAAACTTTGTTGTGAAAATAAACAATACGAAAAATAAACCACGGGCGTAAAATGAATATTGAATACTCTTAACAAGCGGTTATGGGTGAATACAAAGAAAAATGTATACAAAAATTGGACTCTAGGGTTTTTAAAATACAACAAAAATAGGGTAAACTTAAATACATTTTGATACTATACAATAAACACTTTAAAATATATTTAATATGGTTTATATTCTTCTGACTTCCCCGTTTATACTTTATTTCATCAGTTAACTTTGCACCATTTTCCCCCTTTTATGTGCCACTTAGTTTTACAATGTCCCTTGGCCATGGGAACACATAAAAGAGCACCATGAGCGGTGGCATCTTCATCAGCATCGTCAACAATTTGGCACATTATTACTCGCATATAGCCACATACATTCAATTGTGTGGCCCCCCCGAAACGCCCCCTGCGATATTGTTATTTTCTGGGTATTTTTTTTGGCCTCAAGGCAGCAGCATCTGGCTGCTGTCGCTGTTGCAATTTTTCCAAATTTGTCAACTGCTGTGGTCGACATGTCCCACCACCCACAACCTTCCCCCCCCCCCATTTTGGCCCTTTTGACTAACCAAGGCCGCGCATATGAAATGTGGCGTCTTTATTTTGTTTCAATGGAAAAAGCACTGCTAGAGAGGAAAATGGAATGGACTAAGTGATACCAATTCAATAATCTTTCAAAAAGAAGGAGATTGCTAAAAGGTTATCCATGATAACCATCTTTTATAACCAATAACTTGAGCGATTTTAGCCAGATTAATATTTTACAGACATCTAGACCTTCTAAGTCGTATTCAATATACGTATATATACTTAACAAGCATTATTAAGACCCTCCTAATTACGCATTGACATGACATTTTGTATTTACTTTAAATACCTAACAAGTCTGCAGACATTTCTAAGACGGCTTAACTTTTCACCAAGGAGAAACCACTTTGTTTGTCGCTTAGGGCATTGCAAATGTAATGCCAGATTATCCCCATTGAGTGACAGACTTGTGCGACTCTCTGATACCCTGTAGATAAAGCTCAGTGGCAGTGGCTGATATTTCTCAAACCGCACTACCT